CAGACACTGAAAACAGAACAGGCTTTGTTTTTAAAATCTGTATGTGTATCAAGCACAGAAGAGATCATTATCTGACAAATATGCTTGCGCATTATGAGATAATTTGAGTGCTATAGTGGCAGCTATGAGTGATGGGTTGAAGATTCGAAGAGTCAAGGTAAATAGTCATATTGGCATTAAACCCATGGTAAAGCATATGTCTGAAGTGTCTTGACCATAAACTGGTTATGTTCAAGACGTATAGTTATATGATATTTACTTCTGGACAAAACATCTCCAGTGGAAATATGCAGCTTCTCAACAAAAAGAGCTCAATTCAATAAATTTAAAGCTATTTAAGCATAAACCATCATCATTAATGTACAGCAGGGCTGCACAGATTTTGTGTTTATTTAATATCAGATGCTATGAGTGTTAACAATCATTGGGCTGTCTGTCTTTTGATTTTTAACTCGTGGAGTATTTGTTGTTTAGATTCCACCATATAATTTTAACTCAGGCCATAAAAAAAATATCTCTGGCAAAGCCCCCAGTCTGACAAACAGCCCCTGACAAAAAGAAGAAAATAAAACGCCACTTCTAATCAACATTGTTCCTAAACTGCAGTATTGAAGCCAGGAGGGTTTTACAGAGACAGAAAGACGGCATTTGAAGTACATTTACACGTGTACAAATAACATCTACCTTTCTGCATCCCGGGGACTCCCAGAGCTCTCTGTCTGTGAGCTGCCCTTTTCATCTCCTTACCCAGTCCTCCCTGAACAACTCAGCTGTCAGGCCCCATACATCACCCTGGTACAGGTTGGGACTGGGGTACTGATCAGAGGGCAGATATCTGGGACAATGAAGTCTCTGGGAGGTTGCAGTATGTGCTGTAAGCTGCGGTTGAATAGAAATGGAAGAGGAAAAGGACAATGGGAGGTTCCAAAGTGCTCACACAAGCACGAGTGATCCAGCACTTTACAGCAGAGAAGAAATGGAAATATTTGGAAGCATTTGCCAAGGGAGGAGGTGTCTGTCAAAGATTTTATGGCTACTTTGAGACTTTATGGCAGTGCTGGACTGGAATAGCCAGCCTGACTTGTACAGTGCAAGTTTAAATCTAGTGTGTTTATACTTCCCTCAGAAGTTAAAATGATTTTTGCCTTAATGGGAAATTAAAATAAATTCAATCTTTAATCAATAAGCTTAAAGTGCAAAATAGAGACTATGGGTTTGTGCAGGTTCTACACTGTGCATACCTATCAGGATTTTTTTTTTCCAACTGGTGATTATTGCTGAGCAGTGATGCGATTAGTGCTAAACTATGTGTTCAGTCAAGCAACAACAAGTCATCAGCACCTAAGGTAGACAGAGAGAACATCACTCATCAGCTGTGCAGCCTTAGTCCTGTGAAATTAGACATAATTCTGTCCTCAGCAAGAGATTTTAAGGTTGTTGCCTTTACATAGATGACACGGTCAGTGGAAATGAATTAAATAGGGGGTTCGTTAATCTGAAAAAAAAAATGTACATGAAACATTATAACAAGAAAAGCATGTCTATTGAGGAAAGCAGCAGCCGAAATACAATTACAGCGTCCGATTAAGTGTGTGAACTGAGTGAGGTTGAAGCATCAGGTGAATTGGAAGTGCTGAAAACACTTAAAGATTCAGTTTTACCCTCGAGCACTGAAACGAGTGGAAATGTCTGCGTAAGTGTAAGTGATGAATTAAGGTTGAAGGGTGAGTTAGAGTGGAGGAGCTGAGAGAAATTAGTGTCAGTTCAAGTGTGTCAGCCAAACTTTGTCAGTGGAATGACAACAGGAACTGTAAAGCTTTCCAAAAGGCTTGCTGCGGAAAGTCTGAATTTAAAGGAAAAAAAAGATTTCTCACAAAATATTTCAAAGTATGTGGCAGCTGAAATTAAAATCAAGAAGCATTTAAGACATTAAATAAAAATGATGAAGGAGACTGCTTGCTGATTTCGGTGTGAGAGCTCAGTTAAGTTGAAGTATCACTTCAATTAAAAATCCAATGAAATGGTGGAAGAAGTGCTGATATGTGCTTCAGTTTAAGCCTGGCGAGCCGCATGAAGCTGAAGCACAAATGCTGAGACAAGCAGAAGTATCAGATCAGATTTAGCTAAACTTCAGCTGCTGACAGGAGATGAACATGCAGGTATAAAAAAACTAATACGTATTGTTGATCTTTGAAGTTAGAACTAAAAATATATGCAGAACACACATTTTTATTTTTATCACCATAAAATGCCAGAAAATGTTCCAAGAAAATTCTACTTTTCCCCGGCAGGTAGGAAAACCAAACCCCTGGTATGGAAGAGAAGCTGCAGGAAGGGTTTGTGGTCACGGGAGTAGTGACTATGGAAACAAAATGATTTGAGTACATAAAGTAAAGACTGAGCTCTCTGGCAAAAAATGAGCAGCATTAATTTAAAAGAGCACCTTGCCTGCTGCTAACCAGGTGGGTGGGAAATACTTTACTTTAGGGTTTTTGGCAGTCATTGGCACAGATAGCAGGAAGACGGGATATCTTTAAATGTCAGCAAATTCTGGATGAAAATGTCATGCACTCAAATAATGAAACAGATCCGAGACATACCCGAAACACCATCACTGGCAGCTTTTATTATGAGGTGCTCAAATATCTGCACAAACTACAGTTAATGTTTACACTTTCCATGAAATAAAGATTTGAGGGTTTTTGTATTTCCTTCTTCTTGCGTTAACCCCCCATCCACCAAAAAAAAATCAAACAAAGATGGAATTTGCCCTTCTCCACAGCCTGGGAGCAGGGTGTGTTATTGGATCGGTGCCTCTCAGCCTGGGAGAGAGGTGTGAGCAGCCAGGCCAAGCATGAATAATCCCTTGGGGGAGAACAGGATGGATGGGTGAACAAGAGATGACTGGATAAAGCAAGAGAGGACTGTCTGCCAGAACAATGAAGGCGGTAAAAAAGAATGGAGAGGTGGGAGGTAAAGAACATTGGGTGGAGCTGACAACAAACACACAAATTGTGGAAAAATGAGAAAATTGCCTTTACAACAAGAATGAATTAAGTCTGTGTATGTAGCGATCGCTGACAGTGTGGGCAGAGTGTCTGAGAGGACACGGCACAATCACCGCTTGGATAAACAAATTCTCATTAGTGTATCAAATGTCATGCAGGACCAAGCCACAGGTGGGTTGGGTCTGCCTATTTCGAAAACATAAGGTGTCAGAGTGAATGCTGCCAAGTCACTCCTATCCACTGGTAGAGTGCCAGGGTGGCTGAGTGTCAGACCTGCTGCTCATTTTAAGCTATTGCTCTCATCAGAGTCCAGACACTTCAGAAAAATATCACCAGGCTGTACAGTTAGGAGGTCAAAGCTTTTAGTTCAAC